TGAATTGGTTTTATCAGGGAAGCTCAGTGCATGTGGTGTTTGTTTGGGGCAAGACCAAAATATTGATGAGGTCTGTAACAGCAGTGCTGCCTGGGAAGGTTAGTGTGAGGATTAAATGAGATAATGTATGACTATTAAAGGCTCAGTAAAGTAGCGGACTTGTGGAAGGCCCACAATTACTAGTAGCTCCTGTTACTGTCATTTAAGAGGATCATGCATCCAGCTCCTAGCATGCCCTCTGCTTCCAAATCCTGCTTGTTGGCAGAGATTTTCAGTATTCAAAGCAGGTGTATAAATGCTTAATTTCGTGTCAGGGCTATAACTGCACTTAATTGCCAGCAAAACCACATCAAAGAGCTGCTCACCTAAGGGATGCTCTTGCAGTTGGATACCCTGGCTGCATGGTTTCCCTCACTTTAGAAGACTGTTACTTCCCCTTATGTTAATGAAACTATAAATAAGTAGTGATCACCATGCAAATGGTCTACCTTAGCCTTTGCAAATGAAAGCACAAATGGTTACCAGTCACCCCTTTCATGTAAAAAATGATTTTTTTTTTGAAGCAGGTGAAAATAAGAAGTAGAATGAGTCTGTTTTCCCCTCCTCACACCCCTGGAAGTGTGGGCTTCTTACAGCCTGTGAATCCTTCCATTGAAGGTCACCAGGATAGAAGTCGTGGCTGTGCCATCAAATAAAACCCAGGATACAAATTAATTGGGGGTGGGGGCGGGGTGAAATGTATTCAATCTGAAGAGTTTCTGTTTTGTTATAAAAGCCTTACTTTCTCTACCATGGAAACTGAATCTATAAAACTGTGGGCTCAACCTACTATTGGTCAGAGGGACCCTCCGTGGCTGTATGTTAGGAGGCACACACAATTAAAAGTAAGGAAGAAATAAACCAGATGGCAGACATGGGAAAGGAAGGGGTTGCTTTTCAGGCACCACAGCTGTTTACAGCTGTGGGAGTTCCTTGGAACAGTTTATGTGGGCCATTTTGTTTCCTGACTAAACTGCATTCTATCATGTTGTCTTTTGACAACTTGAAAATCAGATTTTATTTCCTCTCTCATAAACTCTTCTAATACCATTCTTAATAAGGAAGAAAAATGTTGACTGTTTTTGACTGATAAGTGGAAAACCTCGTTTAGGATTTGGTTTACAAATTCCAAGTGGTTAAAGCCCAGTAACAGGAAGCTGTGTACCCAGGCCAAGAGGATCACAAGACTGACAGATAACATACAGTTCTGGGTACATTTTATCATTGTACAAGATTTGTTTTTTTGTTTTGCGTTAACACTGCTTCAGAATTGAGGGTTACCAGGCTAACAAACTCCTTGTCTATCACATCACCCACCACTCGCTACCCTCCTCCATCGCCTACGAAATAAAATCCCTTGACAGAATTTGAGGCACCAGGGACAAGTTAGCAGAGGAGCTATTTCAGGGCAGAGATTCTGAAGTCTACCACGTAGGTGGATGCTGCCTGACACGCTCCCCCTCTCACACACTAACAAGTGTGGGTTTGTGTTTCAAAACAGACACCCACAGACACTCAGGCTTTCTTTCTTTTCCTCTCTACTTATTTTGAGCTACTCATGAGGAACTATTTCCTATTTGTCATCGTTCACCAAGAACTACCCAGCCCTGTGCTAGGCACTGGGTCGACCATGGTGAATGCAACTGCCAGCACCGAGATCACTGGGGAGACAGAAAAGAAGAAATCAGCAAACAAAACAGCTAAGTATAAATGCTAGGAAGAAATAAACAGGTGTTAGAAAAGACATTTAATAGCCAGACTGTCAGACAAGAACTCTTTGAGAACACATTTAAGCAGAAATCTAAAAGATAAGAAGGCCAAGGAAGCATGGAGCTTAGTATGGATCAGGTATTAAAACCAATAAGGCTGGAGAAGTGAAAGAATGGTTCTGGGGCCATCATAAGAAATTTGGATTTTATTCTGCTAAACTTCTTTAAGAAAACCAAAAATTAACTATGTTATTATAAATGAGGAACTTAGAACAGTTGTTGACATACACCAAGTGCCTATAAATATATATAAATATAGGTATGTACACATACATAGATATATGTACATATGTAGACAGACAGACAGACAGACAGACAGATAGATAGATATAGATATAGATATATACACCTTTCAATTAAATTAGCAAGCATTGATCCAAAAATAGTGGAACAGAATGATTTACGTTTGAGTAGTGAAAATATACTCATTTACCTGGCATAGTTTTTATTTAGCAAGTTTTCTGCACAACAAGCCCAAGTCCGGACAAAATCAATCAAATTCCACTTCCAAAAGGAAAAATTTGATGTTCAGTGTTTCTTTGTCTTAATTAAAAGATACCACAGTGTACTCTAATGGTTAAGTATCCTCATTTTAAAAATAGGTAAGGTGGATCATTTTCATCTGCTCACATAAACTGGCATAAGTTTTTACCACAGGTGGCCATTTCAGAAATTAAAGCTACAGCTAATCAAACACTTCGTCCACATGCTTTAGTGATTTTAATGATATGATTTGTTGCTATGAGACAAAAACATGTTGTGTGGAAAATAATCTGCTAGAAATCATATGATCTTGATTCTAAGGCCTTTGATTACCAATACTAGCATCGTTTTCTGGAAGACAAACAAATCCAGTGATTAGAGCTTGGTAGTCTTTATAAAGCAAATAAAACATTATTAGTCACTCACTAATGTATATAGGAAGCAGAAAAAACAACCCCAATCAAAAACCTTTCAAGGCCACCAGTGGCTTCTTCTTTTACCTTGTCTTTCTCCTTCCTACTATCAGAGGGGAGATACTAACAGATGATAGGCAGACAGACAGACAGATTAAAAAAAAAAAACAAACAAAAAAAACTAGGCAGCTGATGAGGAAACCATCTGGAAAACTCAAGAGCCAGCAAGCCAATTAAAATCCTAAATGGCTTCCTTTTCTGTGTGTGTGTGGAGTTAGCTTTGTGACTATTGAGTCTTTATGCATGTTTATCAACATGGTGGTAAACAACAGGGTCCATGCTTCCACTGAGCTTCCATTACAGTAGGGAAGGCAGATAAGAAATTAGTAAGAATTGCATGTATGCACACAATCACATGACAACACTATGAAGAAAGTAAAATAGAGGATGAGATAAGGCAATTGGGTTGGAGTAGGAGATCTTTTTGAACAAATAGCTGAGCTGAGCTCCAAATGACATGTTGGTCTGAAAGATATAGGGTGAAACTCTGGGTAGAGAGGGTGGCAACCTCAGGGACCCAGAAGTGGGCATAAGTTTGGGGTGTTCAAGATGAAGAAAGACAGTCAGGTCTCTGAGACTGAGTGAGCTGATGAGCACACAGTAAGAGATGAGATCAAGAAGCAGAGTGAGCTGACCACACAAGTAGACCCTAAGTTCAGTGGGAGAGCTCTGGGTGGGGGTGGGAGTGGGTAGAGTTATTTCTACAGCTGGTTTTGTAAATGGTCCACTCATTTGTTCAGAACTGGCCCCAGTGTGGTGACCTGAAGGCACCACTCTTTTGTTCTTTTCTAGCAGGGGAAAAGGAGCAGCATAATGACCTGCCCTGTTACCTGCTAATCCAACTAATGATCTGGATCCTCTGGAGGATATCTCACCTGTCCCTGAAGACTATCAAAGCAAAATCTGTCTAGTAGATCTTGGCCCTAGACCATAGGGGTCTTTAGGTCCTGTCTCCCCATCTTTAGAGAAGCTCTCTGAGTCCTGGCCTCTTTATCAGCCAGGGGACTGGGACAGTTCTATCAGATTCTCCCATCTTCCTCCTCTTCCTAAGCAGTATTATGGTCAGGACCAGGAGACATCCTAAGTTGAAGGAACAGGCCAATTTTGCCAGAGGAATTGTGGCAGGAAGGTGCTGGATGAAGTCTCGGGTCAAAGTAGACAATAGATTGAATCCAGGAAAACGACTGTGGCTTGAGAACCTGGCTTGGGCACATTACCAGGGTCATCCAGTCAACTTTCCTGAGTTCAGACAGTGGGGATTTGGAGGTACTTGCATGAATGAGCACTCACTTTTTCTTCTGTTTTCTACTTGGGGCAGTCATTCCCCTCCGTGTGCCTGAAAACTTAATGATACCTGACTACTTATTAAGCTAAGGCTAAAATTCTTAGCCCTAATTCTCACCCTGAACATTCTGGTTCCACCCTACCATCACGGGTACTTTCTCACTTGTTAGTTTTATTTAGGTTTACATCTCTTCATGTACCCTACCTACAGAGCCAGCAGACTTGGTAAGGTCTTACTTAATGTCACCAACATGTTCTGGGAAAGTTCAACTTTAAGTTAAACAACATATTACAAAAGCAGGTCCTCCAATAACTGTCACTCTAACATCTGCTGGTATTTGTGGGGTTTTTTTTTTTCTCATCAACTTTATAATAAAAATAATGTTGAGCAAATGGATGGATTTGAGGACTTGCTGTCCTTCATAATCAAGAGAAGAAGACACTCCAATAAATGTTTGAATAAATGTGAACATTTCCTTCTTGCCCTAATTAGCTTGGCCTCCTGGATCAGGATGTATTATTAAGTAAGTAGAAGTGTCAATACTTAGATCCCTGTGGTTCCTTTGCAGGGTCATCCACTTGGCTCTTGCCACCCTCTTGTTGGCTGGGCCTAATCCTATGGTGCTTTCCTCACCTTAACTTCTCAGATTTCCCAAACTTGAGTCCCTTTGGGCCTGGGAATATGTCTTCAGAGTCTTCATTCACCTTTACTCAGTTCACTGGATCCTCCTTCCAGCCTTCAGTTCTCATCTCTTACCTGGTAGGCAGGCTGCCCTTTTCCCCTTGGGTGCCGGCTAATGCTGGCTAGCATCAGCTTTCTCCTAGGTTACACATTCACCTAAGTCATTACCAGCCCTGGCTTTGCTCCAACTCTTATCTCCTCTAACTGCCCTGGCCCCAAGCACAAGTAGGTATTAGCAAGAGATGACCAAGTAATCTGGGAGGTCTTATCCACTGGCGCTACTTCCCAGAGGATTGAACCAAATTTTCATTCATTTACTTCTTCCTAAAAGGGAATGGTGTGAGTGTCTATGTGAGAGAATTTGTGGGTGTGTGTGTGGGTGAGAGAAAGTGAGAGAGAGAGTGTGTGTGCATGTCCTTGGAGGAAGGAGAAGAGAGAATAGAGATTCTTTATCTGTCAAGAAGATAACTTCTCCTAGCGTGAGGAACTAGAATTTTGAGGAACTGTGGTAAGGAATAGTATTATGAGAGAGGTTCTTTGTGGTTATATTTTTTGCAACGTATTAAAACAGGAGCCTTTGTGGAACCTTGAGTCTTCCAAGTAGAGCACTAGACTCACAATTGCACAAATGTTTTTATTTAAGAAAAAATGAAAAACAATGACTCGCTTTAATGAAAACTATCTAGTAAATAATAGTACTGAAATATGGCAAGCACTGTGGGGGAAGTAACTGATATCTGGACCCCATTGTTGGTATCAAGACCAAAATCTGCTCTACGCTTACCTCTTCTTTCACACAAGGAAGCTAAAGTCCAACTGCCCTGTTTTCCTCTCTGTCTTTCTCTACAGATGGCCATGACTGCCCTCCAGCAGCCTACCAGCAAGTGATCCAGCCAGGGCAGCCCCTACCTGGAGTCAGTGTGAGAGGCCTCCGACCTGTGCAGAAGGTCCTCCTGAATTATCCTAGCCCCTGGAACCCAGAAGAGAGGCCCACACAGAGAGACTACTGCCCAGGAGTCCCAAGGTACCCGTCATTGTGACAGGGCCAATTTTCAGACATTTTAAACTTGAAAACAAATCTTGTTATTGCATCAACTACCAATACTCAATTGGCTTAGTAGTCAGGTTAGTGGCCAGGCTACATGGTGCAATACCTAATGTAGGTTTTTCATGTCAGGAGGAAATGGAAGCTTGGTGACAAGAATCTCTTTACCAGAAATATGCAACCACTATGGAAAGCTCTATGGAGATTCCTCCATGGAACTACTGTATGAGCTAGAAACCCCACCCCTACAGATCTACCCAAAGGACACAAAAACATTAATTTAAAAAGATACATGCAGGGCCCTCCCTGGTGGCGCAGCGGGTTAAAGCACAGCACTGAGAATCTAAAGCCACCTCCGCATGAGTTCGATTCCCGCCTGTCCCGGAGGTGACCACATGGTGTGGCAGACCTCTCCTGACCCACCCGCTGCTACCCTCAGCAGTGTACTTCTGTGATCTGCCTGTTCTGTTCCCAACTCTGTCTCTGGTGAAGCCTCTCACCATTCCTGAGCCTCTGGCCTGTACCCCAGTTCGGTATGCACAAATAAATAATCTTAAAAAAAAAAAAAAAGATACATGCATCCCTATGTTTACCTCAGCACTACCTACAATAGTTAATTCTGTAAACAATCCAAATGCCCAAAACTAGATGATTGGACCAAGACAATGTGACATATGTATACCCAAAGGAAAACTATTCAGCAATCGAAAAAGATATAAACTCATGTCATTCGCAGCAACATGAATAGAGCTGGAAGGGATCATGCTTAGTGAAATAAGTCCGAAGGAAAAAGAAAAATATTCAATAGTTTCACTTATAGGAGGAATTTTAGACAGGGGGATTGGGGGAAAGCGCATTATTATTACAAAACTAAACAATACAAAACAAAAAGACAATTATAAACCAGAAAGATCCTACAGGGGAGGGGAACAGAGGGGGATCAGAAGGAGGGAAGAATGTGGGGGTCATGGTGATAATGGAGGGGGGGTGAAGTAAAGATTGTTACAAAATGAATATAATGTAAATAGGTATATAAAAATATTTCAGAGTCAAATCTCTTTATCAGAAATATAAAGAAACTAGTGACTCGTCAAAATTGTCTGGAAAGAAAGGCTCTTATGATGCTAAACTGCATCCTCTTCTTTCACCTGGTCTTTTAGCCTTTGAAATACATTTTTATTTTTACTATCACTGACTTTCACTTAAGAAGAACTTTGTTATATCTTTAGTATCTATAACTTTTCAGCTGCTTTTTTTTTTACTTTGAAATTCTAATTTCAACAAGTTCTCAGTAGAAGTAATGTGGGCTTGAGGATTTTTTTTTTTTTTGTAATAAAGATATTCGCAAATGTGAAACACCATTATTAGATCTTTCCTCTACTTCTTCCAGAAAAACAATCTGGTTTTCCTTGGCTTTAGTTGTCTAATGTTTAATCATTTTTCTCCTCATCATTCTTCTTTAACTCTTCTTCAGTATTTCCTTTTCTCTTAGTTTATGAATCTAAAGTATACAGAAAATATTCATGTCGGTGGAGCTTCCTACTTTATGACAAAATTGGAGAGTAGACAAAATGTTCTTGCTCAAGCAACATTTTTGTACAGCATTCAAAGTAAGTCTATATTCTGTTTTAAGAATAGAATCAGAGGTGAATGGCCTATTTAAGTAGATTTTTCAGGAAATATAAGAGGTAATTAGTTCAAAAAGTTTATTAAAAAGATAAGGTACCTGCCTACTTTCTCCTTTAGTCAAAATCCCACAAGCCCTCAGGTTTTCTTTCCAGACAGTTCCCTTATTTTCTTTTTAACAAAATTGCATGAAGTTAAAATAGTGGAATAAGTAAAATATGACTATACAGCAGTATAAGCACTCTTGCAAAAGAAATATTTAAAACTCTGAGAAACACATTTTGAGTAAGCATCTTTATGAAGTAAGTTTGATGTTGAATAGGTGGGGCAGTAGTAATTTTTTAAACTTTTATTTTGAAATGGTTTGAGGTTTACAGAAGAGCTGCAGGGATAGCAAAGAGTAATTGCATTTGGAGCATCAATTGAAGCCTGCTATGGTCTCCTTGGATTTATTTTATCATTTTAGGATAATGAAGAATAAGTTCAAGTAATAAAGTTAATTCTCCTCTTACTGATAATTTGAAAGAGAACCTTTATACAGAAAGTTTACTCTGCCATTAATCTCCATGGTATTATTTTTATATGGAAGCTTTTTAATATTATCAAGGCCTTAACATTTCTTTATCAAATGAGCAACTATCTTTTAGAACAACTAAGCAATTTAGGGATATAAAGGGATTTAATGCAAAAAGGACATGTAACTGGATATCCATTAGATGAAAGCATCTTTTATGGGAGTTTTCTTCACTGTTAATGAAAATATAAATTAAAAGTTACTTCCTTAAACATCTACATTTTAAAAATACAGTCTAGTTGGGATTTGATGTAGTTTTATTTTATAGAAATGTGAAATGTCATAAAAATATGAAATATGAAAGCTTGAGCAATAATTACAAAAATTGGGTCTTTACATATTTTTTAAAGATTTATTTTATTTATTTATGCATACAAGTTGAGGTGTAGGCCAGAGGTGTGGGGTCAGGATTCATCAGAAACAGAGTGGGGAGCAGAACAGGCAAGACAGGAGATGTGGATCAGCTCCCTGGCCAGGAACCAAAGTGATGCAGATATGGGTAGCTCCATAGTGCTGAGACTTAACTCCTTGTGCCACAAAGGAAACCCTCTTTACATATTTTATAATCAAAATTTTTTAAAAATATGAGGCAATGTCAGACACAAATAACCAACATCCATGTCCCCCCACCTAGATTTTAAAATGTTAACATATTGTTACATTGACTTCAGAGCCTTTTTAAAGAAAGAAAACCATACAGACACAGTATCAGCTTCCCCCATCAGGTAGGAGAAAGTGAGAGAGAACAGGACCCACTCCATTTGAAGCAGGCAGGGATTTAATGTAGAGCAGAATGCTAATAAGGTGTTGGGGTGGAGGTATGAGCATTTGGTTGGCCTTCCAGGAGTGATCCCAGAGCGAGGCCACAGAGAACACAGAACACAGCACCAAAGGGACCACCTCCCCTGGCCTAGTCAGAGAGGTAACGGGCCAGAACGGCACCAGGGGCACCCCGTTCTAGGTCACACTGCCCTAGTATGATCTAGAATCAGCAAATCACCAACCAGGCAATGTCGGAAACCAGCTCCAACTATTGAGGCGTCTGGAGGCAGGACAGGCAGGACCCTAAGGTGGGAAGGCGTCAGCGAGTAGAGATTCCTAAAAAAGGGGAAAAAAGGGAGAAAAAAGGGGAAAGGGGAGTGAGGAAGACACGGAAGTCAGAGTTGGGTGCAAGTCTTCCTGCTCTGCCTTCAGCAGAGGTTTATTTTATACATTACGAGCAAGCAGTGAGATGACATCAGCACACGAACTGGGCTGAGAGATTACAATCATCTTTGTTTTTCCTAAGAACAGTTTGGGGTTGTTTTGACCCTAACTTGAGATTACAACATTCTAAAATCAATCAAGGTAAAAAACAGGTACATAAGTGCACAAAATCTATGACTAATATTACTATAGTGGAGATCAACTAATATAGAAGTCCCTTAAACCTTATCTACTACTTAATGGGTTTGTTTTTCTGCCTTAATCATCCTGGGAGACAGAAGAGGAAATTCCTTGCTAATCAAATCTCTGAATAGGAGACATAGGTGGATTTCTTTATCTAAAGACTACATAGAATCCTGAAAAACTAGCCAGAAGACTTTTGTGGATTCCTGTAAGGTGTAGCAGGTGGAAAACTTGATTAGTTTAAAAAACAAGCAAACTGGATGAATTTCCACATCTAAAGGCCAAACAATAGGAAGTTTGAGTAATTCTTTAAAAAGCTGAATAGAAGGCTAGGTGAGATAATAGAATGATAAGATTTGGGTTATCCTCCATCCGGCAGTGAGAGAGACTTTGCAAAAACAGCCCTTTTGCTTTTATTTATCAGTCAGTAGTCAAGTCACTTGACTTCAGGGGAATTTTTTCACCCTGGTGCAGTGCTTGCTTGTCAAGGCAGGCAGGCCTTGTGCGGCTGAGGCAATCCAATTGTAAGCTGAAAGTTGCTCAGAATATTTTGATATTACGGTTATACAAAAAAGGGAGGTCATAACATAAGTTAGCGTGGAAAGTCTGATTTTTCAGAGCAATTCCCCTCCATCGGACCGTGTCTGATGACAGAGGTTGCATAGCTCGTGTCATCGCAACTCTCAGATCCATTCAGTACCTGCTAGATCAGTGCTGCCAAAAATGAGTGCCCATGGCCTGCCTTTGGGTACTCATTTTTGTAACAGAGTGGTGGGGATGCTGCTTGGGGAACTCAGCACTGGAGATGGCCCTTACCCACAAGCACCACAAGAGTGGTACAGGGTAGCCTCCGTCTTCCCAATATCACGCACATGCGTCTCAACAGAACTTCCACGGGGGTTCTGGCAACCAAAATAACAATCATATGATGGGGATTACAACTGAGGTAAAAAATACACAAAATGGGCCCTCCCTAGTGGCACAACAGGTTAGGATGCAGCACTGTAAGCTGGCTGCAGCCACTTCAGTGCAAGTTTAATCCCTGGTCCCAGAGGTGACCCACATGGCACGGCAGACCTCCCCTGTCTCACCCACTACTCCCCTCAACAGTGTACTTCGTTGATCTGCCTGTTCTGCTCCTCACTCTGTCTTGGTGAAGCCTCTCACTGCCCCTGCACTTCTGTCTTGTACCTTAGTTCTGTATGAGTAAATAAATCATTAAAAAATAAATAAAAAGAAAAATGCACAAAATGAGGATGACGTAAAAAAAGAAAAGAAAAAGGAAACAAATTTTCTCATTAAAAAAATAATAATTATATGATAATGTGGTAGAAACTTCTTTCAAGGGTCATCAAAATAGATTTTCATCCATAAATAGGTTCACACCTTCATTGCCCTTTCTACCTTATGATACATAATTAAATATTTTCTATCAGGAGTGAAAAGACCTGTCTTTTTATCTGAATGCCACTGATATGACAGATGGCCACAACACTAATCCATTCTATAGACAGAATCTTATAGTGGAAATATCATAATGTGAGTTCAATAATACATAAATATTACATAATTCATTCTAAGATGGAATGATTTGAATTTTTTGGCACATCATTAAGCTTATATAAGACTGATTTGTATGATAAACAACAAAACTACTGACAGCACCTCATTTTTATTGACATTAAAGAGGTGAAATTAAAGATAAGTAAAGTAAATTAGAATGGAAAAGGTCATTTCAAAATGACTTAGAGTTTGCTAATGCAGTGGGTTGGAAAGCCCAAATTCATGAAATGTTACACTGTCTTCATGCTGTCTTATAATTTCTCATTTTAATTTAACTGAAATTTTCTTTTTAATATACTTGTTAGGACCCATGTTTACAGTTTAGCACTATTTTTACACAGCTCAATAGCAACCACATATATGAAAAGATACATAAAGAGTGAATAAAAAATAAGACATTTAAAAACAAAACTGGAAACAAAGGATCATCAAAGCCATCAATACTCAATGACTGGCTCATCTGCTAGCAGCTCTCCAAGTGCCCCAGTGGCATGGCCAACTTGACGGCTGTTGTTGTGTGAATATTATTCACAAAGTGACCTATATTTTTTTTTATCATAATAATTTATTTTTCCATCATTTTGTGCCTTTTTCCATCTCAGTTGTAATCCCCATGGGCTTCCCATCACCAAATCACCAGTGTGCCATCACCATAATCCAGTGCACCCACCCCCCATTTTTGATCCCATTCCCCACTCCACCCCTGTAAAATGTCTCTGGCATATAGTTGTTCATTATTATTTTCCCCCAGTCCTTTATACTCCTGCTATGAGTGAAACCATCTGGTATTTTTCTTTTTCTTTCTGGCTTATTTTACTAAGCATGATCCCAAAGTGATCTATATTTTAATAGGAAGGACTCATAGTAAAATTAAGGTCTACTGTAACACCAATTTATTCATTTAAGACTCTGTTACCCATTTGTTTTGTGGGTGACCCTGTCTTCCCTGTGCAAGAGCGTTATCTTCCCAACTGGATAGTCCTGGAAAGAAGAAATCAACTCCAGCTTCCTTCTTTCAATCTTTAACACTGTCCCTAACACATGGCAGAATTGCTTTATGACCGAAACTTCATAGAGCAACCTTCCTGCTTCTGTCTCAGAAAAAAAATACACACAGAACAGAGAGGTAGCTCACTGCTATCTTCCCATTGTTCTTAAGCCTTTCTGTCCCTCAAGGTTTGCCTTTGTGAAAAGTGAAGATCCACTGTACATATATTTGTTTGCAGGGACCAGCTGTGTAACCAGCCACCTAATAGAGCTGGAACGCCTGAAGAGTCCTTCGAGTGTCCTGCAGAACTGAGACAACAGGGTCCCCAGGCTCTGTCTGCAGCTGCTATTCCTAGACCCCCTAGTAACCCTCCAGCCAGAGGAACTCTGAAAACAAGCAATTTGCCAGAAGAATTGCGTGAGTTGTTGGCAATGTTTTTCTTTTCTTCTTGTCAGGTCTTGTATTTTGAGAACACTGGGTGATATACATGAACTTGGATAGTTCTCATATACATCATGAAAGAAAATATATTTTTTTTGCCTTTTGCTAAAAAAGTAACTAGCATTTTACACGAATGTTTTTAGTGATTTTGGCATTATTAGCAATACTCAGAAAATGCTTACCCCTAGATTTTCTTAACAGATACTCCAACAACAAATAACTCCAACACATTTTTCCTCTTCTAAATGATGCTCTTGAGTGGACTTGTCCCTGAATAAATTGATTGGATGTCCAAGTGGTACTGGTCAGGGATGTAGTTTCTCACCATAAATTAGCGGCAGTCATGAAGAACAAGGCCATTTCCCGTAGGAATGAGCAAGCAATTTTGTTTGGAAAAAGAGGTCTCCCATTCTCCAAACTAGTGTACGACCAAAAGCAAACTAAGGTTTTTACTTAAAGAAACATTTGACTTAGTGTCAGGTGCTGACTCTTTTCCCATATTTTGCAACCAGAACCAGACATGTTGAAATATCACCAAAATGTTTTCATATTAAGGTCAGTCAGGACAGTAAGTTCCAGAAATCTTAAGAAACCTGTCATTACTTGTGAATGAGTTATATTCCGCTCTACTTGCTAAAGGAACACAAGTGATTCTAACAAGCCCTTTCCAAGTCTGGCTACTTCTTTGAGCCAAAATTGAATCCCTTTCAATATGATTTTTTAAGATTTATTTATTTATGCATGCAAGAGCTGGGGTGTAGTTCAGAGGTTCAGGGGGTGAGAAGATTCACTGGAGACAGAGTGGGAAGCAAAATAGGAAGCGAAATACACTGCTGAGGGGAGTAGCAGGTGAGACAAGAGAGGTTGGCTGTGCCATGTGGGTCACCTCCCTGGTGGGGCATCGAACTATTGCCGCAGTGGCTGCAGATAGCTTCATATAGCTTCATAGTGCTACAACTTAACCCCTTGTACCACCAGGGAGGTCCCCTTTCAATGTGTTAATTCCTGTTGGGCTCTTTATTCATTTAAGACTCCGAATGATTTCTGTGACAATGATTCATTGTTATTTTTCATTCAAAGAAAATTTTCAAATGTTCTTACCATCCTATACATTTTCATACTGAGCACTGCTGCAGAATGGGTACTGCCCTGCAAAAGATACAATCCTACAATTGACTTACAGATCATATTTATTTTACCATCATCTATAAAGGGAGTTTCAACATTCTTGCATAAGAGTTGATTGAGTATTAGATTTTGAGAAGAAAATTGCATCTTATAATATTACTAACTGCTTAAATGAACCCATGTGGTCACACATTTTAGAGGTATATTTCAAGAAACAAGAACATAGGTAAATACAGACCTCAAGACATATTTTCTCTCCAATTGCTTTTCTTCTCTACCCTCTGCTCCAGGGACCTCCTGAAATTTAGTCCATCCATTCCAGACTGAAGTTAAACACACAGAGATTATTTATCTCTCATGTGAATATAGTAGGCAGATAATTTCCCCCAAGACAGAGGTTCTCATCCTGACTGGTTAATTTCTGGGCATAACACAGGTCCACTGGGCCAGTGAGGACACTGACAGTGGACTGCCCGGGGGCGGTGATCTCCTCAAACTGCAGACACGCTTACTGGCGAGCCTGAGCTTTGCTTTAATCTACTCCAAGTTTCTCACCTTTCCCCACCAGTGAACAGACGATGGACTGCTGGATGGAAGGAAGGCATGTGGGCAGGGGGTGAGGAAACATCTTCTCCCTTCCCCCTCACTTGTCTTGTCAAGCAAAAGCTCAGGCAGCAGAGAATTGGATGAGACCAAAAGAAGACGCTCTGAGTGGCCCTCCAGCGAGGCTCAGCTTCTTGTCCTGCTGTGAGACTGTTCCCTGGGCACAGTCAAGTGTCTCTGAGAAACCAGGAGGTGACCTGATCTTAAGAACTCACAGGTTTGGGGTGGTAGATTTTTTGTGAACACATCACGTGGTTCTTCAGAAGACCACCTCAGCCTGTGTCAGTCTGGCATCTCTCTCCTCTGCGCCTCTTCCTTCCACATACCCTGAGCAGTCTGCTCTTGCTGGGCCAGACCCTGCTTCTGGCTGCCCATCAGTCCTGAACCAACCCATCCCCATGACTGCAGCACATGCCAGCTATCAGCCCCACCCAGAGGAACCTGGAGGAGAAGCCCCTTTATTGTTCAAGAAGGACAAAAGGTGTTTCGTACAATTTCAAAGTGTTGTTAAAAACAGAATCGTCTGATGAGTTTCTAATAAATGTGAAAAATCTCTTTTAGGGAAAGTTTTTATCACTTATTCTATGGACTCAGCCGTGGAGGTGGTGAAATTCGTGAACTTTTTGTTGGTAAATGGCTTCCAAACTGCAGTAAGTATTTTATCCAAAGAGAAAACCGAGTAATTGAAGTGAGAACAGTGAAAAGAAAGACAAAAGGAGAAAAAAGTATCAGTGACTTTTGATGTTTTTTGGTTTATTTGACTCTGAACTAAGTGTTTATGGATCGAGCCAATGATTTTCTAGATTTTTAGCGATCCAAAGTTCACCAGCTGTATCTGTCTCCCCTCCCCCTTGACATGCTTTCCCTGATGTCCCCGCACAGCCAGATGTCATTAATGCCGACTATCCACGCTGCTGGCTTGAGACCTACAGGCCACAGCAGACTCTTGCTGCACTTTGCACCTTTGTCATTTGGCACTCACCATGCCTGCTCAGTGTGTACTTACTGCATGGCAAGAAACTGCAGGCTTCACCAGGTCACCTACTTATTTCACAAGGTCATTTGCTCAGCACTGGGTCGTGAGGCTTGGCCTAGAAGCCCTAAGGCAGGCCCTGATGCCCTTCTGCGCCTGATGTAGTAGTGATGCTTCTGAGCCTGGGGTCCTGGCTCAGAACCATGGCCAGGTTCTCAGCTCAGCAGTGTAGTTCTAGGGTAGACTCAACAGTCCTGCCATTCACTGTGACCTTAGCCCAGGAAATCTCAGGAATCACACACTCCTCAGCCCCCCTGTTGAAACAACACACCTTACAGGCATTTAAGTTCTTCAGGATGCATACAATGCCACAAGAGGAAGAGGCTGCTTGGAGGACTGGCTTTCCTCAAACCTAGAGATCACTTTTTTCTCTTCCCAGAGGCCTCCATGGGCTGTGTAGTGATAGTGATTTTAGAGAGGACATGAATTAAGGAAAATGTCTTTGAATAAAAGTATTGAAGGATAACAAAGGAATATTTAATTACTAAATTATCAATTTAAAACCTGGTTAGCATTTGTATGTAATACCTTTTCTCTGAATCTTTTTTGTTCTATAATACTTAAAACAAAATGGGAGCACCTAAAAGTTTAAAAAAGAGTATTACTTTATACAGTTCGCTTTCATTTCTCTGTAGAGACCAATATTCAACTTCTTGTTTCTTGAATAAGAAAGCGCTGAGGCAACCATGACTTCAATCAAGTTGTAAGGCATAGAGGCCACGTTTCATCACATTTCAGATAAGATCTTACTTTTGGTCACCTCCATATAAGTGTACTGATGGCCCCTGAGGAAGAAGTCAGGTTTTTGTGACTTTAGGAATCAGGCTGCTTAATTCAAGGGCAGTCTAGAAACAGGACAAGTTTTAAAGCTCCAGGTAGATTTTAGGGAACCTACAGGGAAGAGTACAACTATCCAGGACTAGTGACATAGGGAGTTGTCACCACTACTCCTGGATCTAAAGAATGAGGAAGGTGTGTCCTACCTGAAGAGGGCAACCTGTTTCGCTAGGTCACCATAAAGTACCATAGGCTGGAGGCTGAACAGCAGTTTCCTTCCTCCCAGTTCTGGAGGTGAAAGGTTTCAGCAGGTTTCGCTTCATTCTGAGGGCCCTGTCCTTGGCGTCTGTCTGCCTTGCCTTTCCTCTGTGTTTCCTAATTTTTCTTTCTTTTTAACTTATTTTCTTTTTAAGGTTTATTCATTAATGCATACAATAGCTGGGGTTAGGCTAGAGGTGGGAGGTGAGAGGATTCACCAGAGACAGAGTGGGGAGCAAAACACAAGGATCTACTGAAACACATCGCTGAGGGGAGCAGCCACGAGACAGGAGAGGTCTGCTGGGCCATGTGGGTCAGCTCCCTGGCTGGGGATGGAACTCATGTCACAGTAGCTGGCAATATCTTCATATCACTGAGACTTTAACTCCTGCACTCTGGGAGGCCCGGGTTTCCTAATCTTTCACAAGGACACCCGTCATATGACTGAGGGCCACACATGGGTCATCAGATCTTTTCAAATAAGATTTGTCCAAATCCAGAACGTCCATTTTTTATGTTACATCAGTACAAAAATGTATCCCCAATGGGTATTTTGTACTGTATATATTTGACAGTTTGATGTGGATAAGGCATGATTTCATACTATAAGAAGCTTAGGAACAGTCAGAAGAGATGGGACAGGCATAAGGACAGTGATCAAATGAGAGAATGTCCTAATAACATATTGTCTCATGCCATTAGTGGTTACCATAGGGTGGAGTTAGCTGAGGTGAGGAGGAGGAAGTCAGCTTTCAGAACTCTTCCTCTGCCCAGAAGAGTCACAGAGCAGAAGGACTTGCATTGTACTTTTCGGGTGTTGAGGACATCAGTGTAGAGGAGTAAAAGACAGGGCATGTGGGAGAAAGAGGTAGAGCTGAATAATGAGTGGCAATGAAACCGTGCTAACTGGCCAGGACTTGCTTTGATCGGCTCTAAATGGTGGAGTGACATTTAGGACAATTGATCTGGGAGCAGTGTGGGCTGAATCAAATAACTCCTGCTCAAGGACACTCTCCTGGAGTCACTCTTTCCAATATAGAATCCTTTTTCTAATCGAGAGCACCTTGTACAGACACACACACACACACACACACACACACACACACACACCCCTCACTGCTGCAGGACAAACCTGAATCCAGGAAAAGCCTCTTTATTTTATCTACAAAATAAAAAATAACTATCTTTTCCCCCATTTTGAATAGTCCCTCAAAGACTTGACTTTTCATATCATCCTATTCAAAGCAAAAGTGTTCTACTTTGTGACTCATCACAAACCTTCTCCCCACCATCCTTGTAATTGTTTCTGCGACTGTTCCTTGGATCAGCTCCAAGTTTCATATAATCCTTTTAAACATATAGATTGCAACTGGACATAATACCATAATAACCATCTGGCTAATGCAAGTAAAATACCACAATTGTATCTCAGTACTTGCATGCCTATCCATTAAAAATGTTCTAAAATCATGTTTGCCTTTCAAATGACAGATAAAGATGGATATAGAAGTAGATCTAGATAAATGATCTATATATTGCTGACTTAGATCCCACATGGTGGTCTATGTCTCTTGGATTTTAAAAACATAATTATTATGTAGCCAAAGGTACATTTTTATGTGTACCACTGTATCCTAATAATAGATATTAAATACTTAAATGCCTACTAATGTTGCTAGAGGGGACATTTTAAGAAAATTGGTTTTTGTTTTTAGACTTAATATGGTCCTCCCTGCGAAAATCATTAGTGACTTGTTCAGTTTTAAATGTATATAGTCTCTTGTGTTTTTTCTTGCTCCGCATCTCAAGAAAGCATTTCATTAAAAGTTACCTCTCACATCTTTTCTCTTATAGATTGACATCTTTGAGGGTAGAATCCGAGGTATTGATATCATTAAGTGGATGGAACGCTACCTTAGGGATGTAAGTACATTCCAGAATTCTAAGCCTGTTTTCTGGTGAGAAAGACAATTAGCTTGTGAAGTCATTTTCTGAAAGAAGCCCTGGTGTACCCACCATGTCCAAAGCTGAGAAAATCCCAACAAAGCCTCCCTTGTTGGCAGCTGTGCAAAGATTTAGAAAGGAAGGATGGGGTCGCCCTCCTGGACATGCACAGGCAGGAAATAACAGTCAAACCAGACACAGGTGGTTGATAACAATCAAAGCAAACAATTTTTTGACCAGAATAGGAAAGGAGGAAATGAAGGCGGGGAGTGGGGAGGGAGCGGCAGATTTCAATTTAATCTGAGGCCACCACAAGTGTTTTCTAGGATGGGCTGAAGAGGCTTCACATTAAACGTCCTCCGCCCCCATCCCAGTCACCCCCCCCAGTCACCGCCCGCCCCCTCCCCAGTCCTCTGATTTGTTTTCCACAGATTGAATCTGCACAGGCCACTGGGATACTTTGTGCTTTAACAAGATAGAAATTGATGGCTGCCAGTGTGTCCCAGTCAGCCACTTGGGCGCTGCTCTGGGAGGGAGCAGTGGGGGACAGTGTCTGGCAGGCTGGGTTTGCAGCTTTTCCTTTTGTCTGCAGCCTGATGTTTGCTTTGTGCTGAAGGGTCTGTTCCTCCTGACTGTGCTGATGCTTACAGCCTTGAGAGCTCAGTAACTGACAGCTTAGATCCAACTGCAGGAGGGCGGGGGTTTTTCATCACTGGTGTTGCAGGCTCTTTTTGCTCTGAGGCAGAATCACTTAGCGACTCCAGCTTTCATTAGACATTTATTAGTAATGGTTCTGGAAAATGGTGGGCAAAACCGCATCCATTTAGCAGAGTTCCTGTTGGAGCCATTTGCTCTGCGTGTTTAAAGGGAGACAGAGGGGAGAAGCGGAGGCAGGAGCTGCCTGTGTGGAGGCCTGCCTCCATCCCCCGCCCTCCATCCTCTGCATGTCAGAGAAGCCTTACAGTCCTGCTGGCCAGTTTCCAGCAGTCTTTACCAAATGGACTATACTTCACACTTCCCTAAACACGCTTTCTCCCTCTCATTAACAGAAGACAGTGATGATAATCGTAGCAATCAGCCCCAAATACAAACAGGATGTGGAGGGCGCTGAGTCGCAGCTGGACGAGGATGAGCACGGCTTACATACTAAGTACATCCATCGGATGGTGAGTGGTGAGGGAACCCCTGAGCCTCACAGCTCCCCGGAGGTCGGCTCTTTTTCCAGTGAAGCCCTGTCCTTCACTGGAGACCAACCAAAGGCAGCCTGATGGCAGGTGAAGAACCCCAGGTTGGAGAGAGCATGTTGGTTTTGGTTCCTTTTACAAAACCCTTGGGAACTTGGGCTAGTCATCTTATCTCTGGGACTCAGTGTTCCTATCAGTAACAAGGGGAGAATAATCTGTGATCTCTGAAGTTCAAACTTGGGAAAGCAGTACTCAGCTGGCACGGTTGGATGCCAATAATAGTGGGCTCGTGGGAGGAGAGGGAGAAGTATCTGTAAGGAGAGCAGGCTCCTGCTTTTGGGTCACGTTGCGTCTCCGGCTCTCAGAGAAGTAGACTAGCCTAGTCTACAGGACACATGCTGTTATGTCAGGTAGACTGGATGCAAATTCGGCTTCCTTGTGTACGTGTGTGACCATAAGCCAGCTTATACCTCCTTGTGCCTCTTCATCAAATGGGTCACTAATACTACATTGTGGAGAGCAAATGAACTAATATTCTGAAGTACGTGGCACACATCAGCTGCTCAGATGAGGGAAGGAATTGTTCCTAGTTTGATAGATGAGTGACATTCTACTATCATAACTGGACTCTGGGGTCTCATCAAGCTAAATCCAGTGGGAAAAATATAGAGGACATTAGACTTGCTCGGCCTCTGCTGGCACATTCTGAGTGTAAATATTCCCCAGCTTTCGACCTGGATGTTTTATGGCCTCACAAACTTCCTGCTTTCTGTGATTGTAGTGATGCTGAAGAGACCATCCCTGTTTAGCCAGGATGCTGAGCTGTACTTGTGGGGTTCAGGCTCTCTGTGGGGTGTCCTTATGTGCTGGGGGTGAGGATGGCTCTGGACCCCCCACCCAACCTCAGCCAGAGTTGGTCTGCTTTTTTTTAGATTTGTTTGATTAACAAAGATTCTGAGATGTTTTAAAATCATGAAAATACTGCTTTCAGCTCTGACACTCTACGGGGGGGGGAGGGTTGGGGGAGGCTGGAAGGGGGAAGGAACCTAGATTGGGCATAAAATCTCACTGACCAAGACAGGAAGATGGGCAGGAAGCAGTAGTGGCCCTAATGAAATTAGTAAGCACCACAGGCAGTCGGCTGTCAGGCAGTCAAGGGCCACTGCCGCCTTACCCAGAGCAAGGCCAACTGCAATCAAGATTTGTCCCATGTCTCAAAAGAGTACAGGACAAAGGCAGAGTGAGTGGCTGGGTGTCTCTATTCTGGGTCTTTAAGGATGTCTGTTTCCCTTTGCCAAGCACCAACTGCTCATTTGAGCTCAGAATCAACCCAAAGTAAAAGCTGAGGCTAGGGTGGTAAGGACAAAGAGTAAGGCCATCACTTTTCCCCCATTCCATTGACACCAGTCTAACAGCCCATGGGCAGGGACCAGAAGAGGTACCATTTCTGCCTTTCTGGTCATGGCCAGTTGGCTCTGTGTATTCCCACCCCTTGATCCCTTGACTGACTGCTGCATGTTACATGGCCCCAAGGCACCTCATGTCCTGTCCACATCTCTAGGAAACTGCCAGTCCTGGGAACTGACAGCTGCTGTCAGGCTCCAGATCCCTGCAGTTCCAAGGAAATCTGTCAAACTCTGCTAGTGTGTAGCAATACCAGGCAGCAGTATATACTGTTCCACCTCAGAGCTGTGACCTTGTCTGGCTGTGAACCAGATGGTCCCCAAACCCGGTCTCTTCTCTGAATGTCTTGGGCCTTTCCTTAATCTGGAAGGGGATAGAAGAGACCAGATAAAGAAGTGCCTTCCTGCCCACCCAGCAGTGCCTTCCTGATCCCCTTGAGACAGCAGAAAATTACAGGAGGAAGGCATGAGATAAACCCAGGGATAACTGCATCATAGAGCCAATGGCTTCCCAGAAAGCCAATATCTGGACTATGAGAAAATGTAAATGCATTCCTGATGACTTGGGTAGCCTAGTACAAGAAAGTATCATAATATGTGGTGTCCAAGAAGTGAAAAACTAAATTCAATCCTTCACTGTTAACAGCCCCACACATCCTTTCCTCTGTGTGTTTACTGGTGTGGTTAGTGCTTTCAGTCACACAGTGCTTGGGTCACCTTAAAATATGCTTTTGGTATCACCTTTTATTTTTTATAGGTAAACGGTTTTGAGGAAACTTCTGGTAAAGGATTTGTGTCTTGGAATTGTGTGTGAGTGTGTGTGTGCAGGTATGAGTGTGTAAGCATGTTTTGAGGGGATTTCTATGATTTCAATAATCAGTCATCACGTCTGTCACTTTTCTGTTCTGTTTTTATTCTCCTACATGATGAAGGCTTCTCAGTTATAAAAATCAATTGGAAGATGAAATAGTTGGGAACACATAATTCCTCATCTCCTTGTCATCAGATGACTGGAAGCTTTGCACTGGTCACAGGATTTGGAAGATTCTAACTCCCTCATATTGATAATTCTGGTTTTGATAGAGTTCTTGGCAGCCCAATCTTTCTGGCCACTGCCGAGTCAGAGCAAATTGGAACTGGTGAGAGGAACGTAACACTTGGCAAACAGAGCTCTTCACCACAGCCTCTTCTCCACTCCCTCCTAAGCCATCCTGGGTTCTAGCTGCAGGGGTGGGCTGGCTGGTCCCAATTACACTAACATATGCCAGCACCTCCAGATGTTGGCTTATGGTGTTTCCTTGGAAAATATATTTACTCTCTCCTATTTTCCCTGATTGACCAAAGGGCCCCTCCCTTGTAACTGTCCTTCAAACCACTACTATAGAATAGACCATGAGCTCCTACAGCAGCTTGTCTGGTTTTCACTTTGCACTGTGGTCGGCGAATTTACCTTTCTGCCTGCTCATTAAACTGCTGGCATTGTGAGAATAGGTGTTGTATCTACAGTATTCTGGTAAACTGGTTCTCAAAAAAAAAATCCTGATTTGTAGCATTTGCCTATTTCCATGGTATAAATGCTCTCACCAGGGCTAATTTCAGGCTGCCAGTGTGAATTCACTGAACACGGAATTGGGAAGAGATACAGCTAGCTTCTGCAAGCTGATGGGAGCCAGTCCAGCACACCCTGGAAAGTATCCGAATCCCTGAAACTCTTAAGTCTACACACAGCATGATTTAATAGGCTTCAATAAATGGTTGACAAGTAAGTGAAGAGCATAGATGTGTAATGAGGAGAGCTTAAAATTATAAGAGTGTGGCACTCAAATGAGGAAATTGGAATAAAAATACTGTGTGGGCTTGCATGTGTGCGTGTCAGCTCCTCATCCTCATTCTTGAAATTAAGTCGAATTTGTTCTGTTCCAGATGCAGATTGAGTTCATAAAACAAGGAAGCATGAATTTCAGATTCATCCCTGTGCTCTTCCCAAATGCTAAAAAGGTAAACAAACAAACAAAAATGCTCTAATGTAAGCTTTGGCTTTTTGCCATCTGGGATTTTAAGTAGAAAAAGTTGTCGCCTCTCTCTCAGTCCATAAAGATGACAGGGCTACCAGAAAGATCAACAAGCTGTGCACACTGTTCAGCAGCATGAATCATGAAGGGTTTAGAGTGTTATCTGATGGACCATCGCTGCCCTAATTGTTCAAACAGTCATTATACACAAAGAAGCAGTTTGTGTTCAGATTCATGAGAGAAAAAGAGACTGTTCATCTGATACTTCTTATCTCTACATAAAAGTCAAGATGTGTACCTTTTTTGGCTGGCTGTTCCACCAAAGTATTTTGTTCCACAAAGTTCAGCTCTCAAAGCTGTAGAGCATAGCTAAAATCTACAGTTACCAGAGTAAACTTCGCTGTGGTTCCTGTGAGGGTGTTGCATGCAAAGGGCATGCCAGCAGCTCAGGGAATAGGAACAAAAGCCATGTGCCAGGCTGGACAAAGGAAAACAGTGGTGAGAATCAGACAGTGACACCCCAATTTCTGACCCAGCTTTACTCTGGAGGATCCTTAGATAACAGGATCCTAGTGAGACTTCTGCCGCAGATGAGGGAGGGTCCTGCCTCTGTGGCTGAGACACCAGAGGTCATTTGGCTCACAGACTGTACAACAGTACGCCTGTCCGTCCCTTCTCAGACTCATTGCCCTCACTGTGGGATCTCCTTACTGGTCTCCCTTTCTCCACCTTGACTCTATGCATCCTCTGTTCTGTCACCCAAGAGGAATATCCAAAATATACATCTCCTCTGTTACTCTTTAGCATAGACATGTATAGTTTTGTTGCAGGGCAGGGAGAGAGGGGCACCCCTGAACCCCCGAAACTGCCCGCTCGAATAGGTTCTGCCATCCGCCACGTCAAAACAAAACACATAAGGCCTTTCATGGAAAGGAACTTATAATGAGTGTGCAACACAAAAAAGATATAGACTATAATTTCTCAATCAAACTCCCAATGCTACCCATCCCCTCGTGGGTAAAAGTCCACCCAAAAGGGACTGGCCCAAAGCAAGGCCTGAAAGCCTGCAATAAGTCCAAAGCACCTTCCGGCAGGGACCCTTAGAAAAGGGTCAGAAATGTCCAGACAAGTCTGGGAAGAAAGGACCAAATCAAAATTAAGATAAATGCTGACACAGTCACCTCCCCATGGGTCTCTCACCCACATCCCTTTCAACCAATCCACGGCCAAGATACAAGAGCCGCCTCTTCACAGGTCTCTCTGCTCCATGTGCCTCCCGCAGGTCACCTTCTGGTTTGCCACCCAGCTTCCTTCCTCCTCAGTCTCCTCTCCAGGTTCTTCTCTTCCCTGCTCAGCTCCACCCTCCTTTTGGGTGGGGCAGGGAACCTGGAACCTCCCCCTTTCCTGGGGACCACCCTGTTGCAGTTTCCCACTGACTCTAAGATCACACCCCTCTTTCTCAGCATGAAATAGGAGGCTCCTTCGAGGAGTACTGTGCCCTTTCCTCAGTCTGGTCTTTCATCACTTTGCATGGATACTCTCTGTCCTGGTCCTACTAGACTATTCTGACAGGCCTTCTCATGAGCCGTGTTCTTTTGTATTTCTCTGCCTTTGTCCTTCCATTCCTTCTGCGTGCAGTGTTCTTTCCCAACTCACCTGTCTCGTGAATGCTTGCTTTTCCTTCTATGAGCCAATCACTCCAGCCTCTCCTGACCACCCTTGCCCATGCCAATAAATTTTCCTTTGCCTGTCTTGAGAGCTCTTAATTACAGTACCTTGAGTCAAGGGGTGTGTGGTTAAGGGTGGAGGATGCAGGGAGTAATCGTTTTGAATCACTGGAGCATAGAGCTAGAAAAAGCAGACCGACTTTTAGTTGGTTCGATTACTGTTTTTTAAATTGTCTTCAATTGTCTTCGAACAATTCCCCTGTTGCTTGTGGTCTGGGCAGAGTGCTCTGACCGCCCGCCCTGTTGAAACGACATTGCCTAGAAAATAGCAGCTTTACATTTTGCTTCCCTCAGAAGATTGTAACTTCCTTGGAACAGTTATTTGGGTGTCATCAGTGGCCAGCATGGTGTCTGATATGTAACAGGTGCTGCTTCCAAGTCATCCTGCAATCCCCAAAGGAGCCACATCTACTCAGAAAGAGGCTTCCGAGGTCCTGTCTCAAGCCGCCTTTCCACCGCTCTCTCACTCACTGTTCTCTAGTCACAACCTGTCGCTCCTGAAGAGATGAGCTGTACACCTCCGCCACAGGGCCTTTGCACTGCTTGTTCCTTCTGCCTGGACCCAGATAGCCTCAAAACTCATCCCCTCTGTTCTTTCAGATCTTGCTTATTTGCTCAGTAAGATCCTTCCTAAATACCTTATTTACACCTGTAGGCCTTTATCCCTGCCTTCACACTCCTTACCCCCTGTTTTATTTTTTCCACTGCATGTGTCACTTTCAAACACTCTATACGTTTTACTTATCCATTACCTTCCTTTCCCAACAGAATGAGCACTCCGTGAGGGCAGTCCGAGACTGCACCCCTCTGGTCCCTGGCTTACAGGGTTGGCCTTCACTTGATAGCAGGTCTTGTGTGCCCCCTCTACTGCAGGCCTGTGACTGCAGTAGAAGTGAACCAAGTAGATTAAGACCAGAACTTTGGCATACTTCTTCCAAAGCCACACGGGAATTCATAGCACTCCGCATGACCTCTGTCCTACCCCTTTTATGTGAGGGTGGTGAAAAGCATGTTGAAATGCAAAGGGCAGGTAGCCTGGGAGACTGACAGAAAACGCTGTACACATGTGGTTTCCATAAGGAGATCTACAGCTTGCACCTGAAGCCAAGAACCTTTCACAGATGAACGTCTTCCCAAAGCAAAACAGCACAACTCGGAAGGGGCTGCCCAGGACGGCAAAGCCGCAGATGCTCAGAGCGGGAGGGCGTGGCATCTGCAGCCAGGCTGGCCCCTGATGGCCTCTGCTCCTGTCGTCCTCTCCCACAGGAGCACGTGCCCACCTGGCTTCAGAACACGCACGTCTACAGCTGGCCTAAGAATAAGAAAAACATCCTGCTGCGGCTGCTCAGGGAAGAAGAGTACGTGGCTCCTCCCCGCGGGCCTCTACCGACGCTTCAGGTGGTGCCCTTGTGACACCTCCACCCCCGGGTCGCTGGGGCCCAGCTGACAAGAGCTAACACACTGTTCTCACCAGCATCCTTCTAGCTGAGGCTGGTGGACAGCACTTATGGTGGTTTGTTCTCAGTCCTCCCCTGAGGGCCTCGGACCCAGAAACCCTTCTGCAGAGTACACTCCTGAGACCCCACAGCCGGGCTTGCTCTGCTCGCCCTGCCTCTGAAACCCACTGCAGGCTGGGCATGTCTGTCTGGACCACTCAGTGCTTAGCAAATAGAGGATATGCGTGATGTTCAGTCAGTGTAAACCACCGCACACGCTGCCCTCGCTGAGTTCGCCTGCGTTGGTGTACTCGTGCCAGACGGATTCATGTACAAATAATAAAATGTTTACCTTTTTGTAAGATTGTGTTTCACTTATCTCAAAGTAGATAGGTAAATATTAATTTACAATGGGCAGTTGTTTTCAGGGGTATCAATAAGGCTGCTGAGATATAGGTCAATGTAACTGATGCTGTATATGGAAGGATTAAAGCCAGAAAGCTAAATACTCCTTTGCAGTATAATCTTGAAAGCTTTATTTTTGCAGTAGAACATTTTAACCAAACAACTCTGTACAATACCCCACCAGGATCGTAAATAGAGTCTGCCCATATAGGTAAGAATATTTGTATGTTGTATGAAATAAGGGCTTTATTCTTCAGGTGAGAACTGTGTGGTTGGGGAACCCAGTGTTCTGGACTTGTTCTTCCACTAACTGACTTGTTGTCTTAACCAAGTTCTTTCACTTTTCTGAAACTCTAGACTGGTTTTTAAAATCAATGGACAAAAATATCTCCAATGATCCTAGAGGATTTACGAGCTAGGACCTAATTTTAAATATTCTTCTGGGGAATGACTGAATTTTCATAATTGTATCTCCCAGGAGATAAAATTACATTTTCTTAAGAGAAACATTTTCTTCTTTTTTAAATACCATCATCAATACCCTACCCTACACACACACACACACACACACACACACACACACACACATATAATTTACTTACACTGTAGTGCAAGATGGCTTTAGTTATGACCAAAGTTAGTAAGCCAACAGGAAGACCTTTGGAGGCGAGAGCTACTGCTTCCCCTTATCTGTCTACCTAACCTCTTAAACAAGATTCAGTTGTACAATCAGATAATTTAACACTTACAAGTCACTGTAGGGACCACAAGTGCTTATCAACTATAAAATTTTGCTAGTGAACTGAAAAAAATACTACTTTCATTTATATTATGACCTAGATGTCTTCTGAGTAAGGTGAATGTCTTTGTTTTAAAAAATAGGGAAAGAAAAGCTGGTAAACGCAAGCACAATTTGTAAAACTCTGTGACAAGTATCTTCAGCTCAGTAAGCACTTGAGCCTTGTAAAAATGACTTTCTTGCTTGATTCACCCTAAACACAAAGTTTAAGTCTTCTTTCTTTTTATTGTCTCTTTTTGAGGTGACACCATCCTAAATTGTAAATATAATTATAAATAAGAAGACACCAGCAAATATTTCTCTAAAATGTTTCTGGTTTGCAAAGATTAATAATGGGATTTATTACCTTCTCTCTTCAGAGACCTTTTCTGCCTACTTAAGTACTATTCCTACCCCAAGTGAATGAGGAGGAAGCCCTGTTGTTGCACAAATGGAAAAGTGTTATTGTAGGTAGCAGTACTAGCAAATACACACACACACACACACACACACACACACTTGGCCAAGAGATGAAAGTTTGACCCCTGAAGCTTTATGAAATCCGATGACCATGAACATCGCACTGCCACTAAGATTAGCACTAGGTTTATTTAGATATAATCTTGGTTCTCATGCATTCATCAGCAGCTATTTTGGGGGTAGAAGGCAACGTAGAGCTGACTCTGTACAAATAACCTCTTCTCAAGACTTTACTCAGACCTAAACTGACTTGGGGGTGGGGTGAGGTATACAGAATGCAAGGTTAGGTTACTGTCTAATACTTAGGGAGTAACAAAATTTTACACATAATTTTTAACCCATGACTGGTGTCTGCCTACTTAGTTTTACTTTAGTTTTGTTTAAAGATACCTCTGACATGACCACAATCAGAGTATTCATGCCGTTTCTCAACTCAGTGCTCAGTAAACTGGTACTGCTAACACCCTTTTCTATTTTTTTCCCTGTTTAATGATCTATTGAAAGGCTCAGTTTTGTTCGGAGTCATCTCAGCAAGGGCAGCAAAGTCTCCATTTGGAACACCCCTGACCTTTTTTCACAGAGTTTTGCTAAAAGCATTTTCTTAACCTAAGCCACATCAACAAACACCTCATCCACTTTGCCAAACACCCCAGTGTCACCAGCACCTTTGCCAAGTGGATTGCTAAGACCTACGATAACTGGGAAATGATCCAGAAAGCGTCTCACAAAACCTGGGATTTTTCTGTTCCTTTTTAATGAACCAAAAAGAATCGGTGAGACCCACCTCTGAGTGGTTAGTTTATAGGGAAAATATCAGAAAGAAGAAAATTTCTCTCATCCCAAAGAAATTTTTTTCCAGATAAACAACTCTGTATGAGCGCAGGCACCCAATAATCAACAACAATGAAACCCAGAAAGAAAAAAGCACCAAAATTATTTTAATTCTCAGGCCATTTATTTCTGCCATGAAATTCTCAGTTCTGGAAAGGATCCGAGAATCAAGACTCTCTCTCAGCAATTTTTTTCAGGCATGAGAAAATTGGAACTCAGAGAAAACACGCTAGGTTAGAATCAGCTATCCTGGTTTCCAGTCTGTGGACATTTATTTGGTGAGCCACAAAGCTTTTGGAGTTTTGATGATAGGTGTGCTTGACAAATGACCCAGGATCTCCCAGAGGTAAACTGAGCCTTGTGAACATAAGAGGCCTGAGGGAAGATGCACCTCTGTCCTCTGGTGGCTGGAGAATTAAATGATCGTGTTGCAACTTGTTCTGTGGGAAGTTCTTTGGGGAATTAATTATTGTTGTGATTATATGGAGCATGACTTTTCTTGAAGTGGTTTGGCATATTTGGTACTATAGGAAACCAAGATGCTATTTAAATGATCTTAACACTTTCCTGAAGTTTACAGACGATACCTGTTACTAGTCAGATCGATTTCTTTTAGTTTTATTGTGCCATTCTCCAAAATAACAATGATTGGAAAAATTTTTTAATTTTAATGTTAAATACTATGCTATTCACCTTTCCTCCATATATTTGGATCTGCAAGAGTGGATCTTCTTGGAATAATACATGGCAATTTGGAATATCTACATAAGAAGAAATGTATGGGTCATACCAACTCCCTGTTAGGTGGGACACTGTTACAAGGCAATCCAATGTGAATTGGGTTGCCTGTCCTTGGGTCCAGGTGTGCTTAGGATTCAACTGCAGACACACAAAAGGTCAATAATGAGTTTATTTACAAGAGAAAAAGAAAAGGAACAACCCAGGGAAAGACAGATACAAGTTAATTAATGTGTCCTACCACTGTGTTCCAATGACCTGGAATCTCACTAGCACGTGACAACTGATCAAGAGCCAAGCGACCAGCAGCCCGCCATGAGGCCAAGGGAGAGACACCCTCAGCCCAACAAGTCCAATTTTATATCCCAAACTCCAAAACGGCTGCTTAGCTCCGTCCTTGGGTCCTAGCAATCCTCCCTTTGGTGTTGCTGGGATTCATAGTTTCGGTGTCTGGAGTGGGGGTGGAGTCCACAAAACCTGTATCTGTAGAGGTTCAGGACATTGTTTTCCCCTAACAATACCTTTGATCGGGAGACACACCTATGAAACAAAAGTTCAACTACTACCACTGCCATTCTGGGACATTTGGGACATTTTGTGCCTGAGCAGGATAGTGTATCCCTGTGGCATTTTATATTGGGAAAAGCTTTCAAGTAGAATCCACAGGACACTTGGTGGGAGATGGGAGGCAGGAGGCTTTCTCAGACCCCACGCAGGGGGTCACATGCGGCCAGGTAGCCTCAGAGCACTGCTACCTCTTCTGGTTGCTTGTTCACTCCCAATCCTTCAAGCCAAGCAGGTGAGAACTGTAACAGTAACACTAGCTCAGTTCAGCATAGTTCAGCTCTCTTTTTCACTGCTCAAGGAGCATATAGGGTCACACTAACCCTGGTGTTTAGGAAGTAATATCTGAGCCTTTGCTAAACAATGGGAAATCTTGGACCAAAGTCACCTGGGCAGTGACCACGTTCTGGGTCTGCCTGCTCTTTTCCAAAAACATTCATGTGAAGGGAGTAATTACAGCCTCAGATCTCCCAGGACTTGTAAACTAAAACCATGAGGGCACACAATTCTTGTCCCTTGCCTGACCTCCCTTTGCTCCCTTCACCAGGAAGGCGCTGATGGTAGACAGCAGCTGGGGAGATAGGGGAAAGGGAGGGAGAGAGCGAGAGGGAACTCATGCCTGATGGATCCCATTAGGCTTAGTGTGCAAAGCAAGTTGAGATGAAGTAGCTGCTCTGGTATGCATCCAAAACTGCTGTTCTATTTTTAGTCTCTCCCGCATGCTTCTTAGTCCCGCATTGTATGCCTGGGCACCTGGATAGGCAGCAAAACATGGAACTGAGCCACTCATTTGTAAAACTGAAAGGAAGGAGGCCATTGATGCAGGGCTTGTTTATTGCTGACAGAGAGAGAGGGACCTGGAATGTTAATGAGGACGGCTCTCTGAAGCATGCCTTCATGGTTAGCTAGGAGTTCAAAGGAGAAGGCAGACTCAGTCCTGTGCCGAACAAATGTGAACCATTGAGAGGGGGAAGGAGAAATCAATTACGCTGTTGCAGGCTTCCATGCCATTGTGTTGGAATTGTTAGGAAAGGTAAGACAAGGACCAGATCGCAAAAGGAAACAAAGCCACATGGCCTTGAAGTATAACGAGTTTGCCATGGCAACTGATGGAAATGAGCCTCCCGGGCACCAAGCAGGTGTGTTATCTTACAGAATAAACATACTTCCCTCACTCCCTGGTTTTTATAATAAAACCTATGTTTGGATTACTTTTCCCACCTCTTTGTTACTGGGAGAAGTTGGCTGTTGCTCAATCAGCCCAAGGCTCTACTGAGGGAAATGTAATCATTGTTATCAAAAGGGCTGTTTTTGAAAGGCTTGGTGCTCGGCTTGGATGCCAGCCTCGTCACTGAGCAGCAGCTGGGCCACAGATACCTGTCCGGCCTTGGCCACTTTCCAGGCAATGCCCTGCACAAAAAAGGCGCTTATTCATGCATTCACCATAGCTCCCGGTGAGGCCTGGCTTTGGTGCTGGAAGTAGTCCAAGGCGCACTCATCTGAGGGGAGAGATGCATTTAGGTAAGACTGGG